TTCATGCTCATAGATTAGATTTTTTTCATGCTTATAGAGTAGATTTATTTTCTTGTATTTTTACAATTTATTTTGTAGTTTAGATTTTGTAATTTATTTTGTAGTTAGATTTTAATTTTTTATACTATTCACCTTGAGGCTAGAACCCTCTTGGGTTTAGTTTTTCTTTTTGTTTATTTTTACTTTCTTTGATTCGCCTTTAGGCTAGAACCCTCTTAAGAATCACCTTTTTCTAAGAAGATGATTCAATTCTAGATTACCCATATCTTTAATTGAATCCGCTATCTTTACATTCTTGATTTTTTTTTATTTGTTTCTCGATTTTATTCATTCTTCCTTCTTGCCTTGTTGTTGATCACATTTATATTATCACTTCCACTCTCAAATATATTCATTTACACAATCACAATCATTCTCTCCACAATCACATTCACTCATCACTCCTATTTGTCACGCACACAACATAAGAACCGATTTTATATTTTCTCCTACAAAACACCTTCCTCGTAGGATCGATAACTCTTTATACTATAACTTGATCAGTTGTGCACTTGTAATTTTGGTACATAATTATGCCGTATCACATCGGCCAGAAGGGTTCATTGTTGAAGGAAAAAAAGATCATGTTTGCAAGTTGAAAAAATCTCTTTATGGGTTGAAACAGTCTCCGAGACAGTGGTATTTGAGATTTGATACTTTTATGTTTGAGCATGGTTACTCTAGGAGTAAATATGATAGTTGTGTTTATCATAAAAAGCTCAATGATAGTTCTTTTGTGTATTTGCTTTTGTATGTTGATGACATGTTGATTGCAGCTAATGATATGTCAAAAATCAACGAGTTAAAATCTCAACTCAAATATGAGTTTGAGATGAAGGACTTGGGAGCAACAAGGAGGATTTTAGGGATGGAGATCCACAGGAATAGGCAAGAACGAAGTTTATTCCTATCTCAGAAGAAATACATCAAGAAGATATTAGAAAGATTTAGCATGCTTGATGCCAAGCATGTAAAGACTCCGCTTACTACTCATTTTCGTCTTTTAGCAAATTTATCACCTCAGACTGAAGAGGAGGAGCAGTACATGTCTTGTGTTCCTTATGCTAGTGAAGTTGGAAGCATTATGTATGCTATGGTCTGCCCCCATCCAGATATTTTACACGCAGTCAATGTTGTGAATTGGTATATGGATAAGCCTAGAAAGGTCCATTGGCAGGCTGTGAAATGGATACTTAGACATTTGATAGGATCTGCTAATATTGGTTTATATTTTGGTAGGAACACAAACTCAGATTGCAGAATATTTTGCTATTCTGATTCAGATTATGCGGGTGATTTAGATAAGAGACTATCCCTGACAGGTTATATATTTACTCTTTTAGGTAGGGCCATTAGTTGGAAGGTGACTCTATAGTCGACAATTGCTCTGTCTACCACAAAGACAGAGTATATGGCAGTGACAAAAGCAGTGAAAGAAGCAATTTGGTTGAGAGGTTTGGTTGAAGATCTCGGCTTACACCAAGGTGTTACTTGGGTATTTTGTGACGGCCATAGTGCTATATATTTGACGAAGCATCAGATGTATCATGAAAGAACCAAACATATAGATGTTAGGTATCATTTTATCAGAGAAGTTAAAAGTCATCAAGATTGAAAAAATTGGTACTGCAGACAATCCAACAGATATGATGACGAAGCCCATACCTTCGCACAAGTTCGAGCATTGTCTCGAATTGCTTGGAGTTCAACAAAGCGAAAGTTAAGCTAGTAAGGGGCTTCTGGCAAGACAGCAAGAATGAAGAGAAAATCTTCATATTCAAGTCAAGGTGGAGATTTATGAAAGTGACTTGAATGATGTTGAATATGGCTGCCTAATTTTTGTGACAATTTGTCAAGCTTTGTAACTCTTCGCCTACCCCTTTTAATTTTTTTTATTAATATTAAGAAGCTATAAAATGGGGGCAAGGATGAGAGTTTAGAGCAAGCAGACTCAGAGAAGAATTAGAGAGAAAAACAAGAAGTGAGAGATAGAGAGAAGAGAGTGAGATAGAAAGAGAAATCTTTCTTTGTGTGATTCTCTGATTAGAGAGTGATCTCTTTTTTGTAATCTTCTCTTTTATGATTAGTGAAGTTCTCTGCTGTTCTCGCCCATGGACGTAGGTTATACTGACCGAACCACGTTAAATCCTTGTGTGTTGTTCTCTTTGTGTTCACTATATTTAATCAGTGTTGTTATTCTCCACTCTTGTATAGACATCTTCTGTGTCTGTGAAACCCCCCGCTGCAACAGTATCAAAGCTATAAAACAAAATAGTTAAACTTTAAGATATCAAAGTAAAAATAAGCATTTGCATTAAATAATTTAAAGTGCGGAATTGATCCATAATTTTCTTAAACAATTTCGTTCTTCTAGATTTGTAGTATGCATGAACGATGTGGCCGTTTTCGTATTTACTCCCCCGCATCTTTCATACTTTGGAATTAGCCCCACAAACCTTCATATTTCTCAAATTGTCCCCCAAATTTCAAGTGTTTTGAACTTACTCGCCCAAATATTCATACTTTGAAATTAATCCCTAAATCTTTTTAAGTATTTTGAAAATAGAAGCACCAGATACTTTCTAAGTACTTAACATATTTCTTACCGGTGAGAGCTACTCTAGCAAAGAAGCATTGCCAGCTCCCAACAATAGCATATGTGCTTTTTGTGCATTGGGGGAGGAGACTGCCATCCACCTTTTCCGTGATTGTCGTCTCGCGATTGAGATTCTCCTTTGAGCATCAGAATGGAGGCTGTCCCGGGCAACACTTTTTGGGGGACGGTTAGGATGTATTTTTTTTATGTCTTGGGAGAGGAGGAGAAGGACGTGGTTATGGCTTACTAGGAATCGGAGTGTTTGGGGTAATGAACGAGTAGATCCACATGTTGTCATCGAAGAGGCTACTCAACACCTGTACGAGCTCAAGGAGGCTCAGGTGAAGAGAAAATGCTGACGATGCCAAGGCTAATGCACAAGGAGAACAGCGAAAACGATGGACTAGGCCGCCACCGAGATGCTTGAAGCTTAATCAGGGACGACAACGGTCGGATGGTGGGAGCAGCCATTTGGTGGGAAAATACGACCGCAACGGATGTAGCTGAAGCAAGAGCTGCATTGAGCGGACTGACGTGGGCAAAGCAACAAGGCGTTAGAAACCCGGGAAGCGAAACCAGACTGCATAAAAGTGGTAGGGAGCCTTCAACAACATTCTTCAGCCCGATTGGAGTTTGGACTTCTTATTGAGGATTGTTTGGTGTTGCTTAGTTTCTTTTCAACAATTTCACTTTTACATGTTTCCAGAAATTATAATGATGTCGCTCATTGACCGGCTGGCTAGCGATGCCATCTCTATCTTGTTGAGGGGTGTTTGTTTCACCAAAATTTTTGACGTTTGGTATGGATTACAAGTTTTGGGATCAAAAAGTGAGTTTTATTGTATTTTGGGATTCCATATATGGTGTTTGTTTTAAAATTTTTTTTAGAATATTGAATCCCAAAAGTGCAAAAAGAGCCTAATTTTTAGAATTTGCAAAATCCTCTCAATTGGAGAGGATTTGACAAATCCCAATTTTGTCTTTTTGTGGGAGGTAACCTCATCAAGATAGTATATTCATCATATTATAAAATTTTAGCATTTGGTAATGCTACAATTTGAGCTTGAAACAAACAAAATATTACAAAATGTAGTATTCCAAATCTCAAAATATTAATGAAACAAACAACATTTTAGAAATCTCAACCCATAACTAAACATCTATGGATTTCAAATCCCATGGTGAAATCAATATCCTAAAATTATAGGATTTGAAACAAACACCCCCTTATCGGATGATGTACCTTCAAACATTTTTGCCAATGTTATATTTGAATAAACGAATGAAAATACCCACATTGGAGTTTTCTACTTTAAAAAAAATTATTGTGTTATCATTTCACCCTTTTAATAGTTTTGCTCTAAGAGCATCTCCAACAGCTTCCCCATTTCCTATTTTTGAAGAATTTAGTTAGGTTTTTGGTCCAATAGATTCCCTATCTCATTCCCCAAAATAGGGATGGAAGAGAAAAAATGGGGAAGCTTCCCCAAATCTGCAGCATTCCTCAAATTTTTAGAGGAAAAAAGTGATTCTTCAAAATGAGGAAGCTGTTGGAGTTGGTGTAAAATTTAGTTGGAGAATATGACTTTTGTTTCCCTATTTTGGAGAAAATTTTGGAGAAGCTGTTGGAGATGCCCTAAGGGCTTGTTTGGTTATTTCCTAAAAAACAAAAAATAGAAATGAAAACCAAGAAATCTCAAAAGGTACAATTTCACATATTTCCATCCCTAAAACTCACTCACAACATCTAATAAAATATTATTTTTATCCAACAACTCATTCACCACATCTAATAAAATATTATTTTCATCCAACAACTCATCCAGCATCCACCACATCTAATAAAATATTATTTTTATCCACAACATCACTCAACTCATCTCATCTCATATTTAAAAATCACTCACATCATCCAATAATATTGTGACAACTCATCTCATCTCATTAACATTTTATTTTTTTGTTTTTCTTCCAAAAAGCTAAGAAAACAATTTCCTTAAGTGTGGGTCACATCATCCAATAATATAATGACAATTCATCTCATCTCATCTATTTTTTTATTTTTAAGAAATAACCAAACAAAAGAAAACAACCTAATACAAGAAATATGTTTCTTATAATTCATTTTCTTATTTTTTTCCGCCAACCAAACAATATCAAAACAAGTTTTCTTAAAAAATCACTCACATCATCCTATAATAAGGTGACAACTCATCTCATCTCATCTTCATTTCTTTGATTTTCTTCTTTTTTTAGCCAATCAAACAATCCCAAAACCTATTTTTCTTAGAAATAGGTTTCATTTTCTTTGATTTCGCTCTTTTTTTAGGCAAACAAACAGCCCCTAAAAGCCCCCGCGGCAGAAATCGTCATGACCGCCCGCTTCTCATTGCCGCTCCCATCAAGGACCACTCTCACTGTCCGCGACGTAGTTCAACTCCAAACGGATCCCCGATCTGATCCACCATCTCTCTATAATAATAATAATAAAATAAATTAAAAAAGGAATCGCTCGGCCATGGCTCCTCGACCTCGCCTTACCCTCCCCCGATGGAGGTGGTCCCCACTCGACATCATCTCCTCCTCCTTCTGCTTCTTCCTCCTCCTCTTCCTCCTCCTCCTCTTCACCCGACTCGGCGACCCCCTCGCTGCCTCCGGCCGCAGCACCCTCTCTCTCTCCCGCCACCGACGCCCCTCCATCGATCGTTCTAAGTTCATATCCCTCGTCGACGGGCGACGGCGACGATCAGATCCCGGAGATGCGAGGCGTGCTCCAGCGACAAGGTCGACGAGCATGCCGTGCGAGGATCCGAGGAGGAACAGTCAGCTGAGCAGGGAGATGAACTTCTACAGGGAGCGGCATTGCGACGATAGGAGAGGCGGAGCTGTGCCTTGTGCCGCCGCCGGAGGGGTATCGGATCCCGATCTCCTGGCCGGAGAGCCTTCACAAAGTAAGTAATGCGTTGTAGTTGGACCGTGTTCATTTGACTGAAAAGATCTAGGATTTGGGTATTTATTCTGCTAATGAAAGTTTTAGTTCTGAAATAGGACTTGCTTGATCAAAGTGAGCGATTAATCGTTGGGAAAATTTCACAAAATCCCCCTAAACTTTGTGGTGATTGAACAAAAAACGACCATAAACTTTAAAAGTTAACCGAGACAAGCTCTTCCTTGTTGACGGACCTGCGGCAGTGGCAATCGGAGCCAGGACATAAGCTGGTATCCCGGTGACAAGGGTGATGACATGCCCTGTGAGGATCCGAGAAGCATAGTCAGCCGAATAGGGAGACAAACTTCTACAGGAAGAGGCATTGTTCAACCGAGGCACAGAGACCAAGATTCAATGTATAGATTTAGTTTGTGGGTTGGAGTCATTAGATTATTGAAGAGAAGTGAGTATTTTCATGGTTAGTGATGGGAATGTCTTTGGTATATTTATTGTTCTAAAAGAAGTTTCAAGGTTTGTGATTGTGATCAATCGTAAGGGTAAATTTCACAAACCCCCTAAACTTTGGGGTGATTAAACAACCATGAACTCAAAAAATGAATCGAGACAAATTCATCTCCCTCCTTGATGTATCAGCAGTAACGGCAATCGGATCCTGAAGATTGAACGGTGCTCCGGCGACGAGGTCGATGAGATGTCGTGCAAAAAGATCAGAGATGGAAATAGCCTGCTGAGTGGGGAGATAAATTCGTAAGGGAGCAACATTGTTCGGCGATGGGAGAAGTGGTTTGCCTAGTGCCACTACCAGAGAGGTTTCATATATTATATGTCTGATTCTAACCTACAGTTGAGAGATATGACGCGTTCTTTTTGAGCAAGTCAAAACCCATTTCCGAACCCCTGCTTTAGGGTTTATGGTGGTTCATGCTCAACCTCACGAGGACCTCATCCGCAACGCTTTCTACATCAAGAGTGATTTGGATTTTATGTTAAGTGAGCTTGTTGTGGCTTAGTGATGAGGATGTGTTTCATATAGTTATTGTGCTACTAGAAATTTTGAGCTCTGAAAAAGGAGTTATTTGCTCAAGGTTTTTGATAAATCTTACTTGATAAGGGGCATCTGGAGATTTGGGATTTATGATGTATCTGCTGGATAAATTGCTTAAAAGGTCTAGGCTCAGAATTTATGCATGACGTTTATTTCTGGATTAGACTTATGTATTACAGTTAACAGTTTACATCTCTTATGGATGGAAGTCACTCGTATTAGCATATATTAAGATCAATAATCATCGTACAAAATGAAAAATCTAGGAGAAGAACAAGATTTACATGATTCCACTAAACATGTTTGTATGTTTAAAAGGATTTAAGATCTAAGATTTGATGCATAAGTTCCATCGAGCAAAGTGAATTTTTTTATAGTTTAATTGTGAGAATCTGTTTGGTATGGTTATGTTGCTAATAGAAGTCGTGAGCTTTGAAGCAGTTAATTGTTCAAGTTGTGGGATGAATCATATTTCAGTGGCATCTGGCGACTTGGGATGTATGATGGTTTAGAATTTCCTGATATTTATGTGTTTACGGGATGAATTTTCTTAAGAAGATCTATACAAAGATTTTGTACATAATGTCAAGCTTTTGGATTAGAGTCACTAGAAGGTCTAATAGTTCAGATCTCTTGTGGATGGAAATTCCTTCCATCTTATTATATACTACGAAGTAAGATCACATGAAGGATACAAAATGAACAATCTAGAAGAAGAACAGGATGTATGTGATTTGAGTAAAGCTGGGCCTTGATGACCTTACGGGGAACAAGTTCAAGGATTCCTAATTAGTTGATTATTGCTGGTTAAATTTCTATGAACAGAAACTTCTTTTGTGCAATCTCATCTAGATCTATCCTGTTGCCCATGTAATATAGGCCCATCGCATCAAGAATTCCCCAATTGGCCAGAGTTATGAACATGGTAAAGAAATTTAAGTTGATCTATTTGACATTCTGCAACTCTCTCCTAGATCTTTATGCCTTCTGTTTGGTGTGGATAGATTTCAACCTCCATCTCTCGCATGACACTAGCTGATGCACTGAAGTAGCACCCACTTGTCTCAGTTATACCTCTTGCCCTCTTCCACTGCTATACAAAACACTACTTCTTTATACCTCATGAACATATACATGATCAGGCACACCATCTCGTTCTTCCCCTAATGAAGTTTATTTCTGGTGTTCATCTCTTCAAAAAAACATAGAGGTTCAATTCAGAAAAAGAGGGGCGAAAAGCTTTGTTTACTTCTTCCTGTAACTTTGCAAAATGTGTCGTTGTACAATATCATGATTGTAGTGCCATTGATGTTCACAGGTAGGTTCTTTTTCTTTCCAATGCTCAACTTCATTTGTTTCATCATTATATTTGTAGATGGCCAGTTGACCCGTTATAAGAAACTTCAACTATTTAAATAACTCATGCAGTAATTCTACTCTGCAGGATTTGCAAGAACATACTTACAGTTTCTATACTTTCTGTTTAGTTAGTTGTTTTTATTCATTCAAATTGTTAACCTATCTCATGCAGATATGGCATGGGAACATGCCTTATGATAAGATCGCCGACAGAAAGGGCCATCAAGGCTGGATGAAGAAAGAAGGCCCATATTTTATCTTTCCTGGTGGTGGTACTATGTTTCCTGATGGAGCTGAGCAATATATTGAGAAGCTTGGACAACATATCCCGATGGATAAGGGTATCGTGAGGACTGCTCTTGATATGGGATGCGGGGTAATTTATCACTCTCAATTTTAGTCTATCTGATTTTGCATTACTGTATCTTATATGTCCAGTTTATTTTGTTGTCTAGGTTGCTAGCTTTGGGGGTTTCCTTCTGAAGAAAAATATTATGACTCTTTCCTTTGCTCCAAGAGATTCTCACAAATCCCAGATACAGTTCGCTTTAGAAAGAGGAATACCTGCTTTTGTTGCCATGTTGGGCACTCGGAGGCTTCCATTTCCTGCATTCTCTTTTGATATGGTTCACTGTTCTCGCTGTTTGATCCCTTTTACTGCATACAGTAAGCATTTTCATGTTCATTTCAGCATGTACAGGTCCAATATCCTATTCAGTTTTTCATGAACTTGGTTGTTGCAGATGCATCTTATATAATTGAGGTGGATCGATTACTTCGACCAGGAGGATATTTGGCAATATCTGGTCCACCTGTACAATGGCATAAACAGGAAAAGGAATGGGCTGCACTCCAGGCTGCAGCACGAGCATTGTGTTATGAAGTCATTATTGTGGAAGGTAACACTGTTATCTGGAAGAAACCTTCAGAGGCAACATGCCTTCCGAATGAAAATGAGTTTGGGATTGATCTGTGCACAAACTCTGATGACCCAAGTGAAGCATGGTAAGCTTTGTAAGTAGATATTTCATATTTTCAGTGTTGACAATATATGTGAAAATTTGGGGGGTGGGGGGGGGGATCTTGGCTAACGTGAGGAGAGGGGGAGAATCATTGTGCTAATGGTCGTGTTTTGGAGTACGATGGCCAGTGTTTTTTATTCCTCCTTTTCTGACATAGAATTACGTACTATAACTTTTATTTTTATTTTCCCAGGTATTTCAAGTTGAAAACCTGTGTAAGTAAAATCCCTCTCATGCAAGAAGTGGCTGTTGAATTCAATGCCAAATGGCCACAGAGGCTATCAGAACCCCCTGCAAGGGTGTCACACATGGAAGACGGGACTACTGTATTTGATGCTGATACAAAGCATTGGGCTGAACAAGTTTCCTACTACAAGAAATCTCTTGGCGTTAAGCTTGGCACACCAAAAATACGCAACATCATGGACATGAATGCTCGTTTTGGAGGATTTGCTGCAGCATTGCAGTCTGACCCAGTTTGGGTCATGAATATTGTTCCTGCAAACAGACCAAGAACATTGGATGTGATTTATGACAGAGGCCTTATTGGAATGTATCATGATTGGTATGTTTCATTGTTTTTTTCTGGCTCGCTCAGTCTTTCTCTCAATATCGTTTCTTCCATGCTGTTTGATCTTCTCAAGTCGGACATTAGTAGGATTGCATGGACTGGCGACCATTTTCTGATTTAGATAACTGCATTGACGGATAGGTGATGGCAACATAAAAAAGAGTTAATTAAAACTAAAAATTAAATAAATAACTAGTTTTGAAAGTTTAAAGTAAAATTTTGGCAATCTTGTGATAGATGAGTTGTAGGAGAAGTTGAATTTTATTCACCAAACTGTTCTGTTACTGAACCATGATCTTGATTATTAGGTGTGCTAATCACTCCCAGTTAGCTTTTCCAAACGCATGAGAACAGAAATATACCCTGATTTTATTTGAAGGGTAGATTTGTCATTTTTGAACAAAAATACATATGTAAAGGCACCACTTTCTAGTGATAAGTTAGGAGTTAATACTTCACGTTTTTGTTGGGTGAGCAACTCCAGACAAAAAACTTGACTATGATAAGACTCACTTAACTAGCAGCAAAGAATGTCATTGATTAATGATTAGTCATCTCTTGAACTTCTTGTAATAAATCAACATGAAGATATGTAGCAGTGTATTTTCATATTTACACTTTGTCATCTTTCGTGCTATGGAAATTAGCCAAACCTACTTCCTTGTAGTCCTGTTTCCTCCACTATACACAGATGTGGTAAACACAAAGGGTAGCTATTTGGCATGGACAAGTTAATGTAGGGGTAATGTGTAAGTAAAACTGTTAATGGTAAAACTGATGTGGAAAAGGTGCATTTTCTATAAAAAGCTAAGTGGTGTAAGATAATATCTAAGAAGGGAATAATTGAAATCCTGTTTACTCCCTTCTCTATTAATTTGAAAAATGTGATCAGAAGCAGACTTAACAAGTGAAAATCTGATGAATATAGGCTCAAAGAGGGGAGGAAGTGATGCATGTATTAATTTAGTTAGTACCTATAGTTGCATTGTTTATTCAGTTTTTATTATCAATATTGCATTCCTTGTTTCTCACGGATTCATAGCGCTAAACTAAGTCGAGATGAAGACACCTGACTGTACATTTATAAATTTTGCACCTAGTCAAGGTTTTAAATATCAGTTATCTGGGAAATATTGGACGGCTAAATTTCATATCTGATTGCTTAAATCAGCTATCTGGGAAATATTGGACGGCTAAATATCAGAGATATACAATAATTATTAGAGTGCTATATCAGATGATGTGCATATACAATATAATATCCTAAAATATAATCCAAACATATGTAATGAAATCTAAGCATACAAAGTGTAAATAGTATATGTTTAGGATCAGTAATGACTAACCACTTGTAGAAACTTACTTAAGGAAAAAAGCCTACTAAAAGTTTACCAAAAGACTTCATATAACTGAAACTTTTGCTAAAAACCATCGAAGAAATTTTGCAGAACTAAATTGTTTTGCTATAAACCATATTAAAGGAAATTATCGGTCAACATACCGACTGATATATTGGCCATCTCACACAAAAATTGTCAAAAAGCGGTAAAGATATTGAGACCATATTGTTATATGATAAGCCTTATAAAAAGATATATCGGCCAATATATCAACTATATCAGAGATATTTTAAACAATATCTGTAATCAGAGAAAATTAGTTGATGTGCTTCCTTTTGCTATGGTATGTTTTCTGAGCTTAATAGATAGCTCAAGTTCTTTCTACCCAGTTGACAATATGTTCACTGAGATATATGTCTTGTGACATATATTAATGAGATTGAGTTCCAAATCATCTAAGCTTCCTTTGTTAATATGTTTTGAGTTCATATACTGTCCTTTCCTTGGTAACCCTTATATGTTCTCCTCCTTTCTGTAATTAGTGACCAAAGTAATTATGCGTGCACTTTTTGATTAACTGTGTAAATTCTGGTGATTCTAGGTGTGAGCCGTTCTCAACATATCCCAGAACATACGATTTCATCCATGTAGTAGGGATTGGCTCTTTGGTCAGCGATTCACTCGCTGGTGAAAGCAGGTGTGTGTTTGTGCTGGCTTCCTTGTTCATTTACAACCACTAATACTACTCTTCTTGCTATTACTACTATTGGGATATAGAAGTATGTCAATATAAAAATACATCATCCCTTGCAAAGCTTCCTCTTTCTATTCGTCATTTTGGTCAATGCAACTTTAGCTTCCATTAGATATATTTATGAGCCTGCCTTTGGATTGCAAAAGTTTCAGATCAGCATGTGCATATCCCTATCATTATCAACTTCCTTGTGTCTTCTCCTATACTACTATACAACGGATGTCAGAAGAATTTGTTAAAATAGTTTTTGTTGTTTTGTAGAGACCATGGAAACAAAGTATAAAAATGATATTTTAGTGATTGTGCCGTTGAACCAGAATTTTTTGAGAGAAAAACTTTGATATGCCACTTTCCTGTTTGTTGAGGGCCCCTTCTTTTGAGAGCCAAGACGAAGACTTTGCACAACGGTATTTTCTCTTATTAGGCTGTTAAAATCCTGTTACTGGATTTGAACTTGGATTGGTTCTGTAGCATCTTAATGCCTCTGTCACGAATCACCAACTGCAGCTTTGCAGTAGTGCTGAGCATTGAGGGATATTCAACCTTAAGCCAGCAAGTTGAATATCCTTTTCATGGACCAAGACCTGGCTTGTATGCAGTTGTTTATCCTTTTTTTTCAATTTAAATCTGCACCATGTTGGATTTGAACCTAGGTGGCTCAACCATGTTGGAGTTTTTGACACAGTATCAAAAATCAGTTGTAGTGAGGGCTGATGGATTTCATGCCAAGTGCTACATGTAGTTTACAAATGAACAAAGAGACCTCTTCCACCAAATGCAAAACCCCACAAGCCATTCACCCAAAATTAAAACAAGGACAGCAACCGTATTTCTTTGGTTTTTCTACCTACCAGTCTGCCTTAAGGTTTTATCCAACTCAGTTGATGCCATACGTACCTTGAAAATGTATTTAGCATCAATGCAGTGGGTAACCAGTCATAGAGTTTTTATCAGATTTAACATGCAGCCTTATGTCAAGCCCATCTCGACATGGTGAAGACTTGATGCTGGAGATGCAAGCCATACTGTGCCTATTTTGACGATGTATTCAGCACTTACATGGATAGTTACAGAGATTGATAGCCTCTAAGCAGTTGTAAATTGATCATACTTATAGGAAGCCTTCTTGATTACAGTGCATAATCAACCTTGTCTTGATAGGAAGAAGTCTTGGATGATTACGGTGATGTAAACTGGATGAGATAGTACATAGACAAGAGAATGAGGAGGCATAAACGTTTGCAATAAAAAAAAAGACAGTTTAGTTCATATTGGATCGGATGTCTGAAACTATCTTCTGATGGAATGGTTTTTGTCGCGGTTTTCTGAGCCTTGAGTTAAGTGTGGTGGTGTGCCCTTGCAGCGTATGGAGTGAGGGAATATGCTGTTGATGGACCTGATGTATGGCGACCATCTATTGAAATAATTTTGGCTGGTAGTTGTAAATGATCATCTTATCCTAGAGGAGTAAGAGGAAGAGGAAAGGGAGAGAGAGGATGGAGGAAAGGGTAAAAAAGTATCAACTTTTACTAATAACGTTTTTCCAATAAAACCTTGTCACATCGCGTCTCAAAATACCCAAAATACACATATTCCAGAATATGACTCGAACGACAATTTGCAATCCTTTGGTAACATTCACACTTTCAATTCATCCTGTAACAGTTACATGTACTATTCTACAGAGCGGAGGATGTATATATCTGAACTATAAAAGGGAATGTGACGGAAACATGCAAAAAATAAAAACCGTCCCCAGGAGAAAGCTACATATATCCAAATAGAATTAAAAAAAACATATCAAAGTATCAAACATCTGACTAGGTCACATGCGGCTGAAAAAAATGTTTTGAATAAATAAATACCTAAAGCTGATGATAAAGAGACTGAATTTTCTCAGTCCTTTTAAGTAAGAACGACCCTTGGGACTAGGTAAACAACCCCAGGGAGTCAGAAAATCCCTAACAAGCATGTAAACTAATGCCTGCTTCATAAAAAGATTAACGTTTCGCCTTGCGCTTCTACCATTTTAAACATCGATTTAAAATAAGGTGAGCATCAAAATATTCAAACTTGGAGAAATCATTTATGTGGTGCTATGTTGAAAGAACACGGGTGCTGGTGCGCACACGCATGGGTGCGGATACGGGACACGACAAAATCATAAAGGTGAGGATATGGGACACGACTTATACATATGTATTAAAATTAATAATCCATATGAGATCGATATTGTTTTCATTCACATGTTATGAGAACTAAAATCATTATACCATTTTTATGTTTCCTTTATTGAGCAGATTATAAATTAAAAAATCGCTCATTTTTGAACTAGAAACATAAATGACCCTTTAAAATCATACTTATGAACTAGGTATGCGCTAGAACGAATATGTCCCGAGTCCATCGACTTGCATAAATTTGAGGTGAAATGTACAATATACGTTCAGGAAATGTCACAAGTTTTTAAAACTAAATGTGTTATATAATTGAGTACAAATCTGAATAAATGTATGTATTTATGTTGATACAAAGTGTTCTGGGTAACCTTGGTGTAGTGTGAAGTGTGAACACCAGGATAAAGTGCTCCATGTTGTATGCTTCTAATATGTTTAGCAATAAAAGGGTAAAATACCCACCAATAATCACCACCAGCCCCACCCCACCCCGCTCCAAAAAAAAAGAAAAGAAAAAAGACACCCCTAACCACCACCAAAAGACACACAGACATGCAAAGAACTTTAGAAATTTTTTCATATGACCTTTATAAACCATAGAAACCCCCTAAACTTTCAGATCATATTCAACCTCCTAAACTACTGGACAATTCTCATAAACAGTGTTGATAGGTTAATTAAAAGAATCTAAACTATACCCACTGCAGATCACCCGGACGATTAGGAGGTTCCAATATGGCTCCAACGGTCTTAAATTTGACCCCGGGCTGGTTATTAAAAAAAAGAATCTAAGCTGTCCTTTTTTTATTACATTTTGATGGTTTCTTTTCTTACTTCTTACGTGTCCTGAGTTATATAGACTTATATTTAGTAGATAGGGGAAAATTGTCTAAAAGCTGTCACGTGTCGATCACGTTAGTAACTTAAAAATAACTTATGTTAGTCAAGATAGTTAAGCAAGACAAGTTTAAGAGGGTTTTCTATGATTTATAGAGTTCACTGGAGTTTTGTCCAAAAAACCCTAAAGTTCAAGGGATTTTTGTGATATTTATCCAAATAAAAACTTATAGAATAATTTTTCACTTCAGACCCATTTAATTTTTTGTTATTGAAATCGACCCTTTTTTTTATTTACCAAAACCGACCCGATTTCTTGATTAGCAGTTTAATCACCTTCCTAATTAGTCGGGGTTGGCAACCCGACTAATTAGGAAGGTGATTAAGCTGCTAATCACGAAATCGGGTCGGTTTTGGTAAATAAAAAAAAAAGGGGTCGATTTCAATAATAAAAAATTGGAATGAGGCTGAAGTGAAAAATTGTTCAAACTTATATAATACCTTCGCAGTTTGATGCGTATGCTTATAACTTATTTTGGTAATACATTTCATCTAGCATTAATGTGTCCATGTTATATGCTTGAACTTAGAGTCTGCCTTGATAATTCCTGTTTATTTGCTTTAATTATGACTCTTTTCCCTGTCCTTGCAGATGTCACCTTGTCGATGTGATGGTCGAGATGGATCGTGTTCTACGCCCAGAAGGAACGGCAGTGATACGAGACTCTCCAGAAATTATTGACAAGGCCGAACGCGTTGCTACTGCAATAAGGTGGAAGGTGGAAGTACACGAGACGAAGCCAAAATCAGATGAAGAGAAAATTCTAGTGGCAACCAAGGAGTTTTGGAAGAAGTCGTAATTTACAGACAAACACCTTTTGCATATAACTAATACGATTTTGTTGGAGAATGTAAATTAGAAGGGTATATCCCCGAAATGGTTAGTGTTGTTTGCAAGAAGGATGTTCTAGTTTGTAGTTTTCCACGGCCCATTAGTCACACTTTTTTTTTCTTTAGTTTTGTTGATTTTATGCCTATTTTGTTCATTCATCACAAGGAGTCGGATGTATTTTTTTCAAGGGTAAATGTATTTGTTTTGGCGTATCAAATTTCTGAACATCCGTTAGAAGTTGGTTGCACTTGAAAATTAAACACTTTGAATCCATTGGCAGCTAAAAAAAAGGCTGCAACTAAAACTTTGAGCATAAACTTACACAAGTCGGTCATTACAAACAGAGATCTTTATTCAACTGCAGTTACTACACTTTGTTAGTTGCACCTGAAACTTAGGGCCCGTTTGGATAATGGAAGTATTGGAAGTAAGAAGTAGGTTACGGAAGTAACTTTCAAAACTATGAAATAGGAAGTAGCGGAAATAACATTTTTTTTGTTTGTTTTATATATTTTTAGAAGTAATGGAAGTAGAACTTCTTCCTCTTCATTTACTTTTTTTGTTTGGATAATATTTAAAATATTACTAAGAAGTAATTAATACATGTTGCTTCCATTTTATTCTTGTTTGGATTGTCATTGAAATAGAAAGAGAATTGTTATTGGGATCAAATTGAGGGTAAATGCTCAACGAGGACCCTGTGCAAGATGTATGTGCCCGAATTGGTGAATTCTATGTTAAAAACCTTGTATTATTAATAAAGGTCAACATCATTACTTTCTTCTGGATAAAGTCTTTAGGCTTAAATTATAAAGCTCCCTGAAGGTCTCAATCAAATGCAAGTTGCTTTTTGCGAAGCTTCTTATATCGGTCTATCATTGAATTCATATATATGCATGATAATGACCTTCTGATTAGCATCTTTTTCAGGTAACTCATATTCAATGGAGTCTCCGTTGAAACAAGAATATCCATATTCCTTCAAATTAAGCATAATCACACAGAAAGACCAATAATCCCATTTTTCAACATAATATCTTTTACTCGCACAGACTATTTATCATCAGTTGGATTTAATTAAACCTATTACATTTACCAGCGGTACAAGAAGATTATCGTAATCCACGCTTCAAAAATTAAACCTACTAATGAAAAAAAATGTTACATAAAATTGTATTATACGAATTCATACAGATTGCTACATGGAATCATTATATCAAGTATTGGACGGACTATATTGTCCTATTCCCTCTTAATATTCAATCTGCGAACAAATTACTATGACGAATGTGGGTACAAGAAAGAACTTTAATTGGCTCCAATTAACCCTCCTCTAATTATCTCCTCTCAACATGGGCTCTTCCATCAGCAACAACATTCTCACCTCCATTAGAGTCCCCAATTAATTGCAAGGATACAAAAGTAAAATCAAGATGGTCAATATTCTCTTCGTCGTACAAGGATACAGAAGTCTGTTCATCGTGCATGGCTACACTACCTACATAGCCTCATTGCCTCTATGCTTCATCGATGAATCCATGTTACAGAAATGATATGAATATACCAACAATTAGGCACCAAAAATGAAAAAAAGAAGGAAAAGAAAAAGAGAAAAAGCAACAAACATTCTACCTACAAATATATATTGAGATGAGAAAAAGAAAGTGTTATTAAGAAATAGCTGAAAATAAATAAGAATCATAGTCTTATTGTAAGCTCAATTCATATCAAAGTCCAACACGCATAATTGACAATAAATTAGTATCATTAAGTTTAAAATAAAATAATAAAATGCAATCTCAAAGAAGACTATCCATACTAGAAAAATAGATTAAATCGAGAACCATTTATTAAGGGGTGTCCATGTTTCTGAAACTAGCAGTTCCTCTCTGATCGTTGTCCAAAGTTGATCGCCTACCTATCCTCTCCAACACGTTAAGAATCCTCTTTCTCTGTATTGGTTCGGGCAATACCATAAAAGCCTTCGCTTCAACTTCATTCTTGTAGTATTCATCGAAAACCAGTTCAAGATCATCTATGGAAATATCTTGAAAACCAAAAACCTTATCAGCAAGAACCTCAACCCAAGTTCTCTCCTTCAAACCAACAATGGCAGTGGCTACCTTTCCCATTTCCTCCACAAGTTTCTCACCAATAATTATTTGGGAGTCCTTCCTTTTCTTCTTCTTTACTGGACGAGACGATTTACTGCTTACAGTTCCTGGCTTGATAAAAATGCTCGAAGGCTCCACTCCATTTAATTGTGATACACGAACTCCATCCATACCAAGATTATCTACAAGATCATCTTCGTCGATATTGATAGTTGGAATCTCTTTATCAATGTCAGGGTCATAACTTGTCTCTCTGAATTCTCCAGTAGCATGATCCTCCCCACAAATAATGCGAAGTTCTTCATATCTTGGAATTGGACAATTCAAATAAGGCTTGTATTTTGGATGTCTCAATTAACTTGGTGGACAAAATTAAGATATTAAAATACCTCGATAAGCTCAGCATATGTCGTAGTGTCAAGTGTAATCATCTTACTCTCTTCATCCCATCCGGCTCCACTAAGCTTTTTTGCTTCACAAATAAGTTTCCACTTGACTTTGAGGGTTCGGTTCGTAAGTGGTTCTCGACATTGTATGTAGTATAATTTTCTCCAAAGATAAAATTCACATGCTCAGCAGCCTTTTTTAAAGCAGGGGCTTTAAATGTCTTATACACTTTATAACCATTATTTGCAAGTTCTACCAAGCAAGAAATTAATGCCTCGATATGTGGAGGTTTCCATTTTTTGTTACTAGTTCCCTTTTTCCCTCCTGTCAGACTTTCTTTGTTCCCGGATGACTTTCGTTTCTTCCCTTCATTCGTATGTTTTCCATCTTTTGAAGGAGAATTAACCTCAATACTTGAAATTGAATTTTGTGTAGCATTATTCTGGGAGCTTTGTGATCGTGTGATTTGTTGGCTCAAATTTATGGGTGGGAATCCAATGGGAGTTCCACTAACATTAGCATTCATGAATTGTTGATTAGTCGAATCTCCAAGACAACCAAAAACATAAGCGTTTCCAAGAGCGTGTACTCCTTGAGAACGAGAGAAGTGTGGCGATTGTTGATCTAGTGTTGAAGTGACTTGAAAGTATCCAGTCCTGTTACCCCCGTATGCACACTTTTCTATATTCTCCATTGTCCTGTGATATTGTAAATATTCATAGAGACAACAAGAATAAACTTTACATTATGACAATTAGAAAGCAAAACTATAAAATTAAACATACATATATTGAAGCTCATCATAAAAAAGAATATATCAATAAAGAAATGTCAAAGATACAAAAAATTTGGTTTCTAGTAAGCTTGATAATAGGAAAAACAAAAAACAAACTTGTTTTCTTAATGATCTAGCATATATTGGTGGTATCAATTAAAACAATACAAAACACAAATACTAATCACCTAATCCAATTTCCACCTACACAAATACTAATTACCTAATCCAATTTCCACCTCATTACCTTCCTTATATCGAGCACAATATTCTATCCACATAGACTTTGCTATTTCATCTCTTTTCTTTAACCAAATAGCTTGTGCTTCTTTTTGTTCCCTTTTGCTTAAATTTAGCATGCTAACGTCAGATTCTTCATTAGCAAATTCACACTCTCTTTCATCAAAAACTACATCTTCTGTAATGTAACGATCATCTGGATCAACTATCATTATATAATTATGTAGAATGCAACATGCAATAACAATCTTGACATGTGTTTGAAATGGAAAATCAGGCCTACATGTTAGAATTTTGAAACGATTTTTCAAATTCTGTAATGTAACGATCATCTGGATCAACTATCATTATATAATTATGTAGAATGCAACATGCAATAACAATCTTGACCTGTGTTTGAAATGGAAAATCAGGCCTACATGTTAGAATTTTAAAACGATTTTTCAAAATTCCAAATGCGCTCTCTATCTTTGATCGAAGTGATGAGTGACGAAGATTAAAAAGCTCTCGATGGTTCAATGGTTCTCTACCGTCTTGCTCTTTAAGATGGTAGCGCACGCCACGATAAGGTGCAATAAAACCGGGCATTGTCGTATATCCAGCATCGCAGAGATAATATTTATCTACAATATTAACATGAAACCAAATTATTAAGTACTTCTTTTTAAACTAATTAAATTAATTTTGAATTTAGTTTATATTTTAGTACCTTTTATCAAACGCAATCCCTTTGGAGGAGGCATAGACAATGCATCCCTCAAAACTGTAAAGTCATTAGCGGAGCCTTCCCATCCAGCCATGACATAACAAAATAGCTTATTAGGTGTTACAACTCCAAGCACATTTTGTGTGGGACCATCTTTACGACCATGAAATCGAGCAACTATATTATCAGGGACAGACGCAGCAATGTGTGTTCCATTAATCATACCAATACAGTTCTGACCATTTAAACATAAATAACATATAAATTCGCCATTTTATATTACATATTACCTTAAGAAGGATAGATATAAATGATTGAAAAATAATCCACTTTACCTCAAACCAAGGGTACCAAGTTGATCTACAACGAATCTCATCAGATAACTCACCACTTGCTTGCTTCATTAGTAATGGTCTCAGTTTTAATATTGCCACGAGGACTAAATTGAAGTACCTACTAATAGTTTCGCCTGAACGTACGAAGTTTATACCAACAACCCTATTTTTTGCATTATGCCCTACTATGTGTAAAAACATAGCAACTTGCTCCTCGATGGAAACATATATGGTATCTTTAAGAAGTCTAGACTTTCGTAACATGCGAACAAGGTTAAAAAATGGACCTCTATCCATTCTTAAGTAGTCATATGTAAATGTTCTGCCGCCATAGAACAACCGGTAGATATAAGCATTTCTCAATGAATCTCTCAACTCGGTTGGTTCCCTAGGAGTTACTTCTCTTTTATTCTCAAACAACATAAAGTAAGCACACAATATACACACCACATATGCAGCAAAGCAACTTAGTGTAGCATCTCTAGCTTTTGAAGGTTCCATATTCTACATAAAACAAATAAAACAATGTTATAAAATCAAAAAGTCAGCGCATATGGTTATTATAAAAATTCGCCAATTTATTTCTCACATCAACAAAAAATTAGCTTGTGGTTGTTCCCTTGTGGTCAAGTAGTCAAGGGTTGTGGTACATGCCTATCATCAAGGTGTGTCAAGGTCAATCAATTATTCTTACGGCATGTAATCATTCAATAGAAATTTTTCAACATGGCAGGCAATCATTTCATTTATAAATTGCATCATGGATATACTGCAAATGCAAGGAAATATGTCCATTGACAAAAGTTCCAAGTCAACAAGACTATACAGTTGTTGCAAAATATAACATCTGGATCACTCGAGCAATAGTTTCCCAAGAGAACTTGGTAAGCATTAATTTATAATGCATCAAAATTTCAACAACTCATATTTTCTTTTCTACTAATAACCACTTAAAAGATGGCATAAAACATTAAAGAGGACTTTATAGTCTACTGAACTTATTCAGGCATCTAAAAGGTATAAATGTAGATGATGTTAAGAGAAGTAAAGGCAAAGGTGCATTTATCTTAGGAATCGAGACAAATAGGAAACTATTTCAAATTGCAAATATACATTAGCTGCAAAAACTAGAATGAACTTAAATTTACCAGATTGATATATGCATAATGTACACAGCTTGTCCCGTAATTCTGACAGATAGCACTTAAGTAAATACTAAAAGCAACAACATTCACGCAAAATATATTGAGCTAAGAAAAAGAAAGTGCTATTAAGAATTAGCTGAAATAAATAAGAATCATAGTCTTATTATAAGCTCAATTCATATCAAAGTCCAACACGCATAATTGACAATAAACTAGTATCATTAAGTTTAAAATAAAATAATAAAGTGCAATCTCTAAGAAGACTATCCATACTAGAAAAATAGTTTAAATCGATAACCATTTATTACGGGGTGTTATCCATGTTTCTGAAACTAGTAGTTCCTCTCTGAGCGTTGTCCAAAGTTGGTCGCCTACCTATCCTCTCCAACACGTTAAGAATCCTCTTTCTCTGTATTGGTTCGGGCAATACCAAAAAAGCCTTCGCTTCAACTTCATTCTTGTAGTATTCATCGAAAACCAGTTCAAGATCATCTATGGAAATATCTTGAAAACCAAAAACCTTATCAGCAAGAACCTCAACCCAAGTTCGCTCCTTCAAACCAACAATGGCAGTGGCTACCTTTCCCATTTCCTCCACAAGTTTCTCACCAATAATTATTTGGGAGTCCTCCCTTTTCTTCTTCTTTACTGGACGAGACGATTTACCGCTTACAGTTCCTGGCTTGATAAAAATGCTCGAAGGCTCCACTCCATTTAATTGTGATACACGAACTCCATCCATACCAAGATTATCTACAAGATCATCTTCGTCGATATTGATAGTTGGAATCTCTTTATCAATGTCAGGGTCATAACTTGTCTCTCTGAATTCTCCAGTAGCATGATCCTCCCCACAAATAATGCGAAGTTCTTCATATCTTGGAATTGGACAATTCAAATAAGGCTTGTATTTTGGATGTCTCTGTTTGTAAGAAAAATAGAGATTGTTAATGTGGTATATCAAAAAGAAAAATTTAAATTAACTTGGTGGACAAAATTAAGATATTAAAATACCTCGATAAGCTCAGCATATGTCGTAGTGTCAAGTGTAATCATCTTACTCTCTTCATCCCATCCGGCTCCACTAAGCTTTTTTGCTTCACAAATAAGTTTCCACTTGTCTTTGAGGGTTCGTAAGTGGTTCTCGACATTGTATGTAGTATAATTTTCTCCAAAGATAAAATTCACATGCTCAGCAGCCTTTTTGAAAGCAGGGGCTTTAAATGTCTTATACACTTTATAACCATTATTAGCAAGTTCTACCAAGCAAGAAATTAATGCCTCAATATGTGGAGGTTTCCATTTTTTGTTACTAGTTCCCTTTTTCCCTCCTGTCAGAGTTTCTTTGTTCCCGGATGACTTTCGTTTCTTCCCTTCATTCGTATGTTTTTCATCTTTTGAAGGAGAATTAACCTCCATACTTGAAATTGAATTTTGTGTAGCATTATTCTGGGAGCTTTCTGATCGTATGATTTGTTGGCTCAAATTTATGGGTGGGAACCCAATGGGAGTTCCACCAACATTAGCATTCATGAATTGTTGATTAGTCGAATCTCCAAGACAACCAAAAACATAAGCGTTTCCAAGAGCGTGTACTCCTTGAGAACGAGAGAAGTGTGGCGATTGTTGATCTAGTGTTGAAGTGACTTGAAAGTATCCAGTCCTGTTACCCCCGTATGCACACTTTTCTATATTCTCCATTGTCCTGTGATATTGTAAATATTCATAGAGACAACAAGAATAAACTTTACATTATGACAATTAGAAAGCAAAACTATAAAATTAAACATACATATATTGAAGCTCATCATAAAAAAGAATATATCAATAAAGAAATGTCAAAGATACAAAAAATTTGGTTTCTAGTAAGCTTGATAATAGGAAAAACAAAAAACAAACTTGTTTTCTTAATGATCTAGCATATATTGGTGGTATCAATTAAAACAATACAAAACACAAATACTAATCACCTAATCCAATTTCCACCTCATTCCCTTCCTTATATCGAGCGCAATATTCTGTCCACATAGACTTTGCTATTTCATCTCTTTTCTTTAACCAAATAGCTTGTGCTTCTTTCTGTTCCCTTTTGCTTAAATTTAGCATGCTAACGTCAGATTCTTCATTAGCAATTTCACTCTCTCTTTCATCAAAAACTACATCTTCTGTTATGTTCTTTCATCAAAAACTACATCTTCTGTAATGTAACGATCATCTGGATCAACTATCATTATATAATTATGTAGAATGCAACATGCAATAACAATCTTGACCTGTGTTTGAAATGGAAAATCAGGCCTACATGTTAGAACTTTAAAACGATTTTTTTAAAATTCCAAATACGCTCTCTATCTTTGATCGAAGTGATGAGTGACGAAGATTAAAAAGCTCTCGATGGTTCAATGGTTCTCTACCATCTTGCTCTTTAAGATGGTAGCGCACGCCACGATAAGGTGCAATGAAACCGGGCATTGTCGTATATCCAGCATCGCAGAGATAATATTTATCTACAATATTAACATGAAACCAAATTATTAACTACTTCTTTTTAAACTAATAAAATGTTTTATAATTTAGTTTACAAAAGTCATTAGCGGACCCTTCCCATCCAGCCATGACATAACAAAATAGCTTATTAGGTGTAACAACTCCAAGCACATTTTGTGTGGGACCATCTTTACGACCATGAAATCGAGCAACTATATTATCAGGGACAGACGCAGCAATGTGTGTTCCATCAATCATACCAATACAGTTCTGACCATTTAAACAAATGAAACATATAAATCCACCATTTTATATTACATATTACCTTAAGAAGTATAGATATAAATGATTGAAAAATAATCCACTTTACCTCAAACCAAGGGTACCAAGTTGATCTACAACGAATCTCATCAGATAACTCACCACTTGCTTGCTTCATTAGTAATGGTCTCAGTTTTAATATTACCACGAGGACTAAATTGAAGTACCTACTAATAGTTTCGCCTGAACGTACGAAGTTTATACCAACAACCCTATTTTTTGCATTATGCCCTACTATGTGTAAAAACATAGCAACTTGCTCCTCGATGGAAACATATATGGTATCTTTAAGAAGTCTAGACTTTCGTAACATGCGAACAAGGTTAAAAAATGGACCTCTATCCATTCTTAAGTAGTCATATGTAAATGTTCTGCCGCCATAGAACAACCGGTAGATATAAGCATTTCTCAATGAATCTCTCAACTCGGTTGGTTCCCTAGGAGTTACTTCTCTTTTATTCTCAAACAACATAAAGTAAGCACACACTATACACGCCACATATGCAGCAAAGCAACTTAGTGTAGCATCTCTAGCTTTTGAAGGTTCCATATTCTACATAAAACAAATAAAACAATGTTATAAAATCAAAAAGTCAGCGCATATGGTTATTATAAAAATTCGCCAATTTATTTCTCACTTCAAATGATGTCACAAATGAAAAGTAGTCCTCAAATTTCAGGCATCATCAGGTGCATTGAGTTATAGGAGCCTGGAAATATTTTTCAGTTGGAATTAATACCATATGACATTTATTTTCATATGACAAACCATAGAAATTGACGAAACAGCCTCAAAGGCTAGAGACCATTACTAATAGGAGCCTTGGAACCAATATGACAAACAGCAGAAACATAGTCTTCTAATTTGAAAGTAATAGGAGTCTTGTACCTCTTTCTATAACCAATATGTCATATGGAAATAAACTCTTTTAACTTTGAACCAATATGTCATATTGGTTTGTCAATTTCCAGGCATAAAAGAGTTTAATTCCAACTGAAATATAGGAGTCTTGTACCTCTTTCTATGGTCTGTCCATATGACAAACAGCCTTAAAGGCAAAAAAATTGGTTCCCTTGCGCAACTGATGAAAACGTCATGTGAAAGGAATTAATACCATATGACATTCTTTATTTTCTCAGCCTAATAACTTTGCAGGCTCATCTAATACCAAATATTTCACAAAATGACGAAGAATCACTTGAGACCTAAAATAATTTGAAAAAAATGTAATGAACAGGGAGACTAGATTGTAATTGATGATCTTGTGAACCTGATGAATTTGCAATTAAAAGTGTTGAAAGAGGCCAAGCGATAACTCTATATACGGAGCATATATTATTAATTTGTAGACGAAAAGAAGGAAAAAGAGTTAACTTTTTTTTTAAATATCAACCGGATTAACAATTGCATGTCATAGAATAAGAATATGTCTCGGAGGCAGCTCATATATTTGTACCAGATGACATTAATGATTATAGGTAACCATGAGAGAATTTGCATACAAAATAAACTTAAAAAAGAGAAAAGGTTTTAGATGAAACAATTAGAAATAGAACAATTAGCCAAAAACGGGGAATGTATTCATAATTTATGATTGAGAGCTTACAAAATTTGACAATTCATGATTTCGGTGTAGATAAGGAGTATACTTGAGTAAAATTTAGTGGAAAGATACATAACTGGTAACCAACATAAAAAAACCAAGCATTTGATCATGCGTAATCATCCAATGTTAAATACCTATCATTCCAACTATAGCTACATATGACGAGCAAAAATTTTGCAAAATAACCAGACATAAATATCACCAACAATTTTTTTTAAATAATCAAGAGTACCAAGAGAATGCACTCAATATTATCAAACTGAGCAACCCCTCTATCACCCAAAAACGCCTAATTTCGGCACAGATCACCACGAAAAAAGAGTTTCCAAGAGAAAGGTAGAGGCTTTTTGCAACAGCAATAACCTATCACAAAAATCCCCAACTAAACCCAAGGAACAAGCCAAAAATGAGAGAAAAATCCTTTAATTTCCATCATCATCACAAGATAGAACAAGTCAATTCAAGCTTTGAAAAAAAACTCAAGTGATTCTATCGTGTGAGGGTGTCGATTGCATGATAAAGTCGGAGGAAAGTGGGAAATGGTAACCCTAAACGATGAGTTTTCCCCAAAGAAAACCTTCAACACAAAAATAGATGGATTTCGTACTTCTTTATTTGGATTAATTGGCTTTCATATCCATTTCTCTCAGTTTTGGGATGGAAATCGGAGAGGGAAAAAAAAGGCTGAGCATGGAGGGGTTTTTTAGTTCAAATCTTTAATCTTTACATACCTTTTTGTTGAAGCCAAGAGGTACAGCGATGTAGAAGGATTCTTTTTTGCCGCGAAGACGGCGGGGACTAGAACCGCGAGTTTGAGGGAACCGCGAAGATGGAGAAGAGTCGGAACCGCGAAGAAGGAGAAGAGTCGGAACCGCGAAGAAGGAGAAGAGTCGGTTGGTTGTGAGGACATAGATAAGAAGGAAAAATATGATCACTTCCTAATTATTGTTTTGAGAATCGTTTTTTTCTAGTGGACCCCACCCAATATTCACTTCCGTTGTATTTCGGTGTCTTTGAAGACGTAAAAATATTAAGGAAATGAAGATGCCACGTAGATGCCACGTCATTATTTAAGGAAGTAGCGGAAGTTGATTTTCAAGAGAAACAAACATCTATTTTTGCTTAGGGCCTGTTCGTTTGCCTTAAAAAAATGGGAAATCAAAGAAATAGAAAACTATTTCTAAGAAAAATGAGTTTTTGAATTGTTTGGTTGGCTAAAAAAAAGGAAATCAAAGAAATGGAGATAAGATGAGATGAGTTGTCACATTATTATTGGATGATGTGAGTGATTTTTTAAGAAAACTAGTTTTGATGTTGTTCGGTTGGCGAAAAAAATAAGGAAATGAATTATAAGAAACCTATTTCCTGTAGTTTTGTTGTTTTCTTTTGTTTGGTTCATTTTTAAAAATAAGAAATGAAATGAGATGACATGAGTTGTCGTTGTATTATTGGGTGATGTGAAGAAAGATTAAGAAAAGTGTTTTCACAACTTTTTGGGATGAAAACAAAGAAATGAAATGTTAATGAGATGAGGTGAATTGTTATAATATTTTATTCGATGATGTGAGTGATTTGAAATGATGAAAAGAGATGAGTTGAGTGATGTTTGGATGAAAATAATATTTTATGAGATGTGATGGATGAGTTGTTAGATGAAAATAATATTTTATTAGATGTGGTGGATGAGTTGTTAGATGAAAATAATATTTTATTAGATGTGGTGGATGAGTGGTTAGATGAAAATAATATTTTATTAGATGATGTGGATGAGTTGTTGGATGAAAATAATATTTTATTGGATGTTGTGGGTGAGTTTTAGGGATGGAAATGGAAGAAATGGATTATTTTAAGATTTTCACCTTTTCCATTTCCATTTCTTGGTTTTTAGGAAATAAACGAACAGGCCCTTAGAAGTAACAGAAGTAGCCTCTACTTCCTCTACTTCTGCTTTTTCACAGTTACTTCCGTGCAAACAAATAGGCCGGGTGTTTGGCCACTTGAAAGTGAATTGAAATTGTGAGAGTCAATTTTTTTTTTTTTTGGGTACAAGTTTCATGTCCACGTCATCCTGCAAGTAAAAAATGATGTTTGTTTGCTAAAATAAATTATGGAT